TATTATTTTACCCAAACTACGTTAGGTAACCTATGTTATTCCTAACAGACATTTCAGCAAATTACAATCTGAGATGGACCTGTTAGTAGGAAAGGAGACTAGAATGAGCAGTAATACTTTGCATGATGCATCAAACCTGAAGTCAAGATGTTTGTTATTTATTTGCACAAGGTGAGCATTCTTTTTATTTGAAAACTATTTGCTCCAGTTGTTAAATTATTTGAATCCCACCACTGGACCTAATCCTAACCCTAGTTTAATTCTCATTCTCAATTGAATTTTCTGATGTATTTCACTGTGGCCACAAAAGAGTTAATACAAAGAACTGCAAGGTTCTCTTTCATTTTAGAACATGTAAGATCTAACCCTAGTATCATTTTTTGGACCTGAGTCCTAACAGACATAACCCTCACCCTTATTCTTACTCTTACCCTAGTTTCATTTTGATTGCCAATGGGATTTTCCCATACATTTCACTGCGGTACACAAAAGATTCTAAACAAAAATCTGTCATATTCTCTTTCCTTTGACAACATCCAAGATTCTATTCCTAACATCACTTTTCAGCCCTGAATCCAAACAGACCTAACCCTAACCCTCACCCTACGCTTAACCCTTACCCTAAAGCTAGTTTCATTTTCATTGTCAGTGGGATGATCCCACTGTGGCTCACAAAAGAGTCAGTACAAAGAGCTGTCAGGTTCTCTTTCCTTAGGGAACAACCAAATATCTCACCATAGCATCCTTTTTTAGGCCTGATTTCCAAATAGACATCAGCCTAACCCTAATCCTTATCCTAACCCTAGTTTCATTTTCATTTTCAATGTGATTTTCCAATGTATTTCACTGTGGCACAAAAGAAGAGTCTGAACAAAAAGCCGTCACATTTTCTTTCCTTTGATTTGATCCAAGATTATAATCCTAGCACTACTTTTCAGCCATGACTTCAAGAAGACATAATCCTAATACTAAATTTATTTTCATTGTCAATAGGATTTTTCCATACATTTCACTGCTGCACACAAAAGAATCTGAACAAAAAGCTGTCATGTTCTCTTTCCTTTGATAACATCCAGGACTCTAAACACCACTATTCTAAACACCACTATTCAGCCTTTACTCCAAACATAGCAAATCCTAACCCTCACCCTCACCCTAATAATCCTAACACTAGTTTTATTTTCATTGTCAATGGGATTTTCCCACGTATTTCACTGCAGTCTACAAAAGAGTCCAAAAGAAAAGCTGTCATGTTGTTTTTCATTTGATGACATCCAAGATTCTAACACCACATTTCATCCCTGCCTCCCAACAGACCTAACCCTAACCCTAAACTCTAACCTTAACCCTAACCATAGTTTCATTTTAATTGGCATTGAGATTTTTCAATGTGTTTCATTGCAGCCTATTAGAGTCCAAATGAAGATTGTCATGTTCTTTTTCATTTGATGACATCCAAAATTCTAACCCTAACACCACTTTTCAGCCTTGAATCCAAACAGACCTAACCTTAACCATCACCCTAACACTAACAATAACTCTAGTTCTATTTTCATGATCAATGGAATTTTCCAATATTTCACTGCAGCCCAGAAGAGTCTGTACAAAGAGCTGTCAGGTTCTCTTTCTTTCGAGAACATCAAAGTATCTAAACCTAGCAACATTCTTCTGGCCTGGCTCCAAACAGACACAACCCTAGCCCTAATCCTTATCCTAACCCTAGTTTATTTTAAATAGTCATTGGGATTTTACCATATCATTCACTGCTGCATGCAAAAGAGTCTGAATGAAAAGGTTTCACATTCTTCCTTTGACAACATCCACGATTTTAACCCTCACATCACTTTTCAGCCCGGCCCCCCAAACAGACCTACCCTTACCCCTAACATTAATCCTAACCCTAGTTTTATTTTCATTGTCAATAGGATTTTCTCATGTATTTCACTGCACCTACAAAATAGTCCAAACGAAAAGCTGTGATGTTCTCTTTCCTTTGAGAACATCCAAGATTCTTATCCAGAACATGACTTTTCAGACCTGAATCCAAACAGACCTAATCCCAATCCTCACCCTAACACTAATCCTAGTTTCAGTTTCATGGTAATGGGATTTTCCCACATTTCATGCAGCCCAGGAAAGAGTCCATACAAAGAGTGGTCATGTTGTCTTTCCTTTGAGAACATCAAAGTATCTAAACCTAGCACTATTTTTCAGGCCAGATTCCAAACAAACATAACCCTAATCTTAACCCTTACCCTACCCCTACCCTGTTTCTTTTTCGTTGTCAGTGGGATTTTCCCATGTCTTTCATTGCAGCCCACAAAAAGAGTCTCTTTCATTTGATGACAACCAAGATTCTAACCCTAACACCACTTTTCAGCCCTGACTTCAAACAGACCTAACCCTAACCCTAACCCTAACCCAACACTAGTTGTAGTTTCATTGTCAATGGCATTTTCCCATGCAGCCTACAAAAGAGTCCAAAAGAAAAACTTTCATGTTCTTCTTCTTTTGACAACATCCAAGATTCTTGTTGAGGTAATTCCCCGTTAGGAGAATAAGCGCACACAGGGAGACATAGTGAGAGTAGTGAAGAATAACATACACATAGCACACAGCCACACTGTATAGTAAAATGTAGGTTTTTACTTCCAGTAAAATGGTTAACCAAGTTCAACAAAAACAGTTCAAGTCATTCATGGTTAAAGCAGTCAGTTTTCAGTCCAGGGATAAGCCAATAACAAAGTCCAGTATCATAAACTGTTCAGTAACAGACTTACATCAAATCCAAGACTAACGATGATGAGTCAATAGGGAAAAATATAAGAAGGGCAACACTCTCAGCAACAAGAGAACAGAACAAACCAGGTTTCTGGCTCCATCTTATGGCTGTTTGAGGAACCACACCCAATTACCATTTTAGCATTCCCTTAAAGAGACAGTATTAAAATGTCTATCCTGGTTTATATATTTTTTAGTCCAACTGTTAGGTGACTTACATTCTTAACAATTCTAACCTTTACACCCAGGGGTGGGATTCAAATTTCTTAACAACCGGTTCTGTGGGCATGGCCTAATTTGTGGGTGTGGCTTGGTGGTCATGTGACTGGGGTGGGAGTGGCTTGCTGACTGGGAGTGGCTAGGTGGTCATGTGATGGGTGGGTGGGGCTAGGTGATCATGTGACTGGGGAGCCCTGGTGACTGGGGAGCCCAGGTGACTGGCAAACCAAATGCAAGTGGTCCTCAATTAATGACCAGGTTCTCGCTTAATGGCCAGTTGCTTAGCAAGTGTTTTTTGCCAGTTTCCAAGTCCTGGGGAGCCCTGGGGAGGGAAGGGTGAGGCCCAGGCAGCTATGAGGAGCTATGGGGAGAGCTGCAGAGGGCTGGGAGTGGCCAACTTGACATCACTCATGTCAAGGGGCGCTTCTCCTCGTCTGACCTCTCATGACAGTGGGGATGCTGCAACGATCCTAAGTGTGAAAAATGGTCACGTCACTTTTTTCAGTGCCATTGTAACTTTGAATGGTCACTAAATGAACTGTTGTAAGTCAAGGATTACCTGTACAAAAATACAAAAAGCTTCTTTGCTTGCAAAAAGCTGCCCTAAATACCAATCATTAAATTAAAAATACCTGGAAGCTGGAGTTACAAATCAGACAGGGTGCCAAAGCACCTTGAGGAATGAAAATATTTAAAATGCAGTGATAACTATCAAGCAGCCAACTCTTGCTTATAAAGTGAAACCCTTTAGCAGAGAGGTCATTTAAGCTCTCCAGAAAGAGCACACCCAGGAGAAGCAATCCTTAGATCCATTTGAACACTTCAAAATACCAGCTGGTCTCACTCACCTCACAAAATATCCTAAGGAAATCACCCAGATTTAAGGAAAGGTCACATGCCACCCAGAAAGGCAGTAAAAAAAAAACCAGTGCCAAGCTTGCATCCTGCCTCTTAGAAGTATCCCCCAAAAGGACAGTGCCAGATAGTATTAGAGCAGTGAAGGAAGACCCCCCTCCCCAAATAGAAAAAGAAATCATGAGGCAAGAAAAAGTTGAAACACAATACAAATAATTAAATCACAACAGTAACTGTTGCTTGTTGAAGCTGAATAGGGAAAATTATCCCATCAATAAACACAGGATTAAACTTCACCAAGCACAGAATTAACTTTCACCAAAAATCAGTTTTAGACCAAAACTCAGAAAGGGTATGTAAACTCACGTTTGAATGTTAATCTTTCTAGTTAGCCAAGAAGCCTTGCTGAATGTCACTCATCTTGGTTCCCTGTCACTAAAAGCTTTGCTTCATTATTCAATTATTTCTTCAAAGTGCTGATTGTCCAGGGAAGTATTTTCTCCCAACAGCAGTGTACAAATCTTAAAACAACCCTTCCCCTTTAAGAAAGCCTCAGAAGCTCCAGAGACAGGAAATCTAGGCTGTCTGCCAAGAATGTGGAAAAAAACAAACGGAGATTGCTTCTAACTATCAGTTCTCCGAACTACTTAGAAAGTTAACAAGGGGTTCTATAGAACCGGATAGAACTGTTAGAATCCCACCCCTGATTACACCACTTTTCAGGCCTGAATCCAAACAGACCTCACTCTAGCACTCACCCTGTAACAGGTCTGACCACTTCAGCTTTAATGCTGTTGTACTGGGGCAATCTAGACAAAGCATCATCCATAACATTCTTCCCCTGGGACATAATGCAGGGTGAAGTTAAAATGATTAAAGTATTGAGCCCAACAATTTATTTAAAGGATAGTCTCTGAGAAGTTTTCAGGGCTTCCAGATTTTTATATACCTCAAACGGGGCCCTTGACCCTTCCAGGAAATGCTGCCAAGTAAGTAGGGCCCACTGCACTGCATAAATCTCCTTCTCCTATATTGCCCACCTCTGTTCAGTCTCGGTGAGTTTCTTAGAGGTGTATGCGCATGGCTGTAGCAATCCCTGGACATTGTTTTGCAATAACACCACCCCACAGTTACATTACTTGTGTCAGCCTGAATTAGAAATGAAGTGTCTGGGTCAGTGTGCTTCAGCATGGATTCTGCTGCAAACAGTTGTTTGAATTTTTCAAATGCTGCTTAGTACTTCATGGTCCACTTAAGTGGCTGACCCGGATTTGGCTTCCCCTCACCCTTAGTTTTTAAAAAAGTTGGTGATTGGCAATGCAATTTTTGAAATGAGGGGATGAACTGTCAGTAGAAATTGGTGAAATCCAGAAAGTTTTGCAATTGCTTCCTAGTGAGGGGAGGGGCCCACTCTAATATCGCCTTTACCTTTTCTGGGTCCATTTCCACTCCTTCGTTGGAGATATGGTAACCCAGGTAATCAATTTTATCTTGATGAAATTCGCACTTGGAATGTTTTGCATACAGTTCAGCAGCTCGGAGCCTTTTAAGGACCACCCATACTGATTTCACATTTCTCCATAGTTTCAGGAAATATTAAAATGCCATTGAAATACACCAACACTTTCTTGTACTAAAAGTCAGGCAGAACCTCATTGATTAGTTGCATGAACACTGTGGGGGTCCCACAGTGTAAGTTGAAAGGGAGCACTCTTGGAAACATCCCAGAGGGCAATTAAATGCAGCTTTCCATTCATCACCCTCCCTGATTTGAACCCGGTATTTCAAATCAAACTTCCCACAAGTCTTAACTTAGTAAAGATTTTTCCTTTGGCTAAATGCGCCAACATGTCCTGCATCAGGGACAGTAAGTAGATTTTTTTTGATGCACATCATGTTTAGTCCCAGATAATCAATGCATAGACAAAGAGTCCCATCTTTCTTCTCCCAGAACAAAACTGAGGCTGCCACACTTGGCCTTGCTGGTTGGAAATCCATATTTTAAGTTCTTGTCTGTGAAGGTGTAAAGCTCTTCTAGCTGCATGGAGTCATTGAGTAAAGCTTAGGCTTCGGGAGTTTAACCCTAGGAAGGATTTCAACACTGCAGTCTGTGGGGCGGGGGTGCATCGGAGCCTTTCTCACTAAATACATCTCACAAGTCCCAATACTCCTTCAGGGGTTCTGGATTCACGTATTGAGTGATCCCAAGCTGTTGCCTCCAGCTCCCTTTGTCCTTTGTTTGTCTTACCACCGGGTTTTGGGATCTTTTTCTCTTCCTTGGCCACTTTCTGCCAAATCTTTAAAAGCCCTCCCCTCCAATTCACATCATGGTTCCATTTCTGCAGCCAAGACAGTCCAGGTAGGAGGGGCCTCTCCATCCGCAGCACCACTATAAAACTGACAGCCTCTTTATGCTTTCCCATTCTCATCTCTACTGGTTCAGTTATAAAGTGAGCTGGCCCCTCTCTAGCTACAGCCTCATTTAGCTGGCAAAATGCCTCAGCCGTTTGAGTCTCAGTCCCAGCTTTTCTTTTCTTTTTTTAAATAAATTTTTATTGATTTTACAATTAAAACAAACCAACAACACATACATAAATGAAAGAGAGAAAAAGAAGAAAGGGAGAAGAAAATAGAAAGAAAAAAATAGAAAACAATTAAAAACATTCTCATCTTCACCAGTTTGTAAGACCTCTTTTTTATCCTTATTTTATGCCATATACACACACCTAATCCTTACATATATCTGTGTATGACTACTATGGATTTATCCTATCCTCTTTTGCCTTTTAGTGTAAAGTCTATCTTTGGTCTATTTATTTGTACCAGCAGTTCCAGCTGTTGTAGTATATTGAAGTGTCTTTATTTTTTAATGCCAAAGTTAATTTGTCCATTTCTGCACAACTTGAAATTTTTTGAATGATCATCTCCTCTGATGGAACATGAGGCAGCTTGCAACATTGTGCAAAAGCCAATCTGGCCACTGTCAAAATGTGTATTATTATATATTTCACTTTTTATGATATTTGTTTATCAAGGATCCCTAACAGAAAGGACTCTGGTTTGAATTCGATCTATTCTCTTGTCATTTCTTCCAGCCAATTTTTAATTTTCTGAGCTTCTGTACAGGACCACCACATATGGAAAAAAGTTCCCTCTTTTTTTTTGCATTTCCAGCAATTCGGACTCATACTGGGGTGCATCTTCGCTAATCTCGAAAGAGGAAGGTGCCATCTATAAAACATTTTATAGGCATTATAGTCCCAGCTTTTCAATGACTTCTGGGCTAACTACACAGTGCAACCCCGAGTCCAATAAAGCCAGCATTTTCCCTTGGGTCCCCAAAGAGGGTACACTAGTTCCACAAGAAGGGTTACAGGAGTCACCTGCCAACTTACTAGGGGATCAACGTCATTCTTGTTAGTCTCACCCAAGCTGGTTGGAGTTCCCAACCCCTCTATGACCTCTAGACCTTTCAGCACTGTCTCTTGAGTCCTCAGAATTGGTTTCATTGCCTCCTCCCTCGGGGTTGCCATAGCACTAAGGTTTGGATTGCTGGATCAGCAGGCCACAGCTTGGTGCCCTTCCTTCCCACCTCTGAAGCATTTTGTGGTCCTGGAGAATATTTTACTCATGGGAGGGAAGGACTTGCTTTGTCCACTGGCCCTCCAGCATTGGTCCTGGGCAAGGTCAATCTCTGCCTTCTTCACCAACACATACCAGCATTATAGGGTTCGTGGGGGCCTGCACAAGATGCAGGTGTGGTAGACATCATCATTGAGGCCATTTTTGAAGCAGTCAATGAGGTTGTCTTGGGGCCTCGTGGCCAACTGGCCTGCTAGCTCTCAGAACTCCTGGGTGTATGTGGTCACTTACTGTCACCCTAACCCGGTTAGGTGTTCTCCTAGACAAGTCTGAAAAATGTGTTAGGATTTCATTCTTGGAGGTACTCAAAGGAAAGAGAATATGGCAGCTTTTTGTTTGGACACTTCTGTGTACCTGAGTGAAATGCATGGGAAAGTCCCACTGACAATCAAAATGAAACTAGTGTTAGAATGAGGACTGTGTTTGGAGTAATGACTGAAAAATGTTGTAACAATGAAAAAAAGGAAAGGGATCATGATGGCTTTTTATTCAGACTCTTGTGGGCCACAATGAAATGCATATGAAAATACCATTGACAATGATAATGAAATTGGGGTTACAGTAAGGGACAATTAGGGTCATGTCTGGTTGAAATTAGGGCTGAAAAATGGTGCTAGGTTCTTGGATGTTCTCAAAGAAAAGAGAACCTCACAGCTCTTTGTAGGAAGACTTTTCCTGGCCACAATGAAATACACGGGGAAATCCCATTGACAAGGAAAATGAAACTAGAGTTAGTCTTAGTGTTAGGGTTAGATAAACTTGCAGGCAATGCTGAAAAATAGTGTTAGGCTTTGATTCTTGGAGGTTTTCAAAGGAAAGACAACATGACTCCTTTTCACTTGGACTCTTTTATGGGCTGCAGCGAAATCCATTGACAATGAAAAACAAATTAGGGTTAGGGTTAGGTCTGTTTGGAGTCAGGGTTGAAAAGTGATGTTCAGGCTAGATTCTTGGATGTTCTCAAATGAAAGGGAACTTGACAACTTTCAGTATGGACTTTTTTGATGGCAGCGGGGAAACATATGTGAAAATCCCAATGACAATGAAAAAGAAACTAGAGCTAGGTTTATGTTAATGTTTATGTGTTCTTCTAGTCAAGGCTGAAAAATGAATCAGTGTTTCCTTTTTGGAGGTTCTCAAAGGAAAGAGAACATGTCAGCTTTTCCTTTGGACTCTTGTGGGCCTCAGTGCAATGCATGGGTTAAGGCTAGGGTTTTGAGTAATGTCTGAAAAGTGGTATTAGGGCTAGAATCGTGGATGTTCTCAAAGGAAAGACAATGTGACAGCTTTTTGTTTGGACTCTTTTGTGGGCTGCAAGGAAATGTTAGGAAAAATCCCATTGAAAATGAAAATCCCATTGAGAATGAAAATTGACAACCTTCTTGGAAGTTGGAGGAAAGGAAAGAGAATGTGAACACTTTTCACATCTTGAGCCATGGTGAAATATATGGGAAAATTCCATTGAGAATGAAAATGAAACTAGAGTTAGAATTAGGATTATGGTTATGGTTAGTTATGTTTGGAGTCAGGGCTGAAAAGGGGTGTTAGAATCTTGGGTGTTCTCAAAGGAAACAGAACCTGACAACTCTTTGTTACAGAGTCTTTTGCTGGCCTCAATGAAATACGTGGGAAAATCTCAACCGTGCTGAAATCAACGTAAATCTGTGCTGTGCTGCAATGGACAGACAAAAGCTTTTGTCTGAAAGAGGAGAAAGAGGAGCAGGGAGAAGAAAGAGGGAAAGCGGCTGAGCAAGAAGCGCCCTGCTGGCCAGGCAGTGAAGTACACCGTCACTAGCCCTGGTACAATCTCTGAGGTTGGATGGGCTCTCTCTCTGTGTCTCTGTCTCTGTCTCTGTCTGTCTGTCTCTCTCTCTCTCTCTCACACACACACACAGAGGGAGGGAGGGAGGGAGGGAGAGAGGGAGGGAGGGAGGGAGGGAGAGAGAGAGAGAGAGAGGTTTGATCAATTCATTCTCTTGCTCTCTCATCCCAACTCATGGTGGCGGCACCATCCATGCTCTCCATGGTGGCCTGCACTGCTTCGTCCTCAACCCTTCCACTGCCTCACTTCATTTGTCTTCATTCTTTGCCACTTCTTCTCCTTGCTTGCTGCCATAACGGAGCAGGACAATGAGAAATACACCAATGTGGCATCCACAAAGCAAGGTGATGGGGGAATGGGGTGAAGACAAAACAAGGCAGTGGGTGGTGATGGAAGAAGAAGCAAGGCAGAGGGTACGGAGTTACCCCATGCAACAGCTTACCTGAGGGCCCCGCAGACAGGCCATCAATATCCTGACAACTGCCTGCCCTTGTGGTGGTGGCTCCAGAAACCCTGTCTAGGACCATATGTGACTGTCAGCCCTTGCTTGTCTCCACAATGGAGCAAGAGGCTGAGCGATGCCCATGTGATCCTGGACAGGGCTGTTGGAGCTGCTGCAAGATGAGGGAGTTGTCAGGATGTTGATGGCCTGGCTGTGGTGCGCTCAGGTAAGCTGGAGCCGGGTGTGGAGGGGCAGCTCCACATCCCCACCTTGCTTCATCCTCCACCCACCACCACCTCGCTTTGTGGCACTACACCAGTGAATTGCTCAGCCTCTTGCTCCATTATGGTGGTGAGCAAGGAGAAGAAGTGGCAAAGAACGAAGATAAACCAAGTGAGGCAGTTGGGGTGGAGTGGAGGACAAAGCAAACTAGGGGATTCAGAGTTGCCCCACCTGCCCCACCCCAGCTTACCTGAGGGCCCTTCAGCCAAGCCACTTATGCCAAACCCTCACTCTTCACCCCCCAGGGCAGCCACATCCCTTCACGAACCTGCTTTCCAGCTCTGTTCACCACCACTGTGTGCAGGGCAACAAAAGTAGTCTCTGGGACTATAGTAAAAAAAAATAGTTCAGACTTTCCAACTTCTCATGAAAAAAAAAAGATCTTGCAAAGTTGGAAGGTCTGAAATATTATTTTTTTTATCGTAATCCCACATATTACTTTTCTTGCCCTGATCATGGTGGTAGAGAACTGGGCCTGTGCACACCTATGCCTGCCACCTCCTGTGTGCATGCCCACCCACCGGGATGATGTGGGCCAGGCCAAAGGATGTGGGCTAGCCCCTTACAGTTTCCAGGATGGCCGTGCAGGCTGGATCTGATGTCATCAGCCCATGTGCTTTGAATTTGACACCTCTGCTCTATTGAATACAATGCAATTAGCTTAGGAGTTTTGAATAAAATTCTGGCTGTTAGCGTCTAGACACAGACACATACTCCATAAAAAAATTGCTTTTGCTAAAGACAATACCAAATTAATCAACTATGCATCAAATGTTAGAAGAATTACCATATTATATCCGTGTCACCCATTTGCATAGTTTAATTTCTCTTTTTCAAAAAGCAGGATAATTCTATAATTGTCACAAATACACATTTCCCCCTTTTCCTCAACACAGAACATATAATCTGCATTTAATAAAAGCTTTGCTAATGTTGACCAGAAAGTTCTCAAAACCTATTTAGTTTGTAGATAACCTTAAATACCTCTTTAAAAATAACAGGGCTATCAGTATGCAGTTCAAATTTTCTAGGCATACTGGTTATTATATGGCATAACAATGCATAATGTTTTTTATTTATTTAATTGATTTACATTCTGTCTCTCATCTAGAGGCAACTCTGGACAGCTCTATATACTATATATGTAAAGTTAACACCAGTAAGTTTTTGAATAGAACATACATAGCTGGCAATTGAATTTTTCATTTTACTATTTTTTTATCTGCATTATTATGGAATCAGGAATATGTTTACTGCATTATGCGCAATGCAGACATGTGGGCGATATTATGAAGATTCATCTTCAAGTTTTCTTAGAACAGGATGGAAGAGATTTTAGTTTTTGATATAACAAAATTCAGAAGTCAGATCTTCCCTCCTTCCCTCTATAGTCTCTTCCCCCTCCTCCTTACTCCACCCCCATTCCAGCCACAATCTTTTCCATAGAGGGCCAACATGCTATGTGGCTAAGATTGTCCAGTAAGACTCAGGTTCAAGCCCACCCCAGCCATGTAAACTCACTATGCGACAGTGCATCATGTATTCCCAATCCCAAGTAAACTGTACTAGGCTCCTGGAGAACAGCATATGTTAGTCTAACAAATGAACAAAGATGCTCAAACTTCTGGATAATTATGAGATATAGGGAACTTCTGAATACTGAAGACCTGTTTAATTGAGGAAGCAGATTTTTTTTACTGGAGGAGTTAACTCTATACATTTATTTATGTCTTTTATTTTAATATACATATCATTCCATCTTCTGTGCTTTTCTGTCAGCTTATGATCATACCTTAATGCAAGAACCTCTCTCAGGATGACCTGAAGCATATGTATGTATGTATGTATGTGTGTGTGTGTGTGTGTGTGTGTGTGTGTGTGTGTGTGTCAGCCAGCCTGTTGCTTGCTGCTATAGAAAGTTAGCACCCACCCTTCTCCAAGAAAAATGAAATATTCTAGGAAATATTAAAAAGGCAGAATATTTCCCCTAAAAGAGAAATAGAAATCTTAAGGAACACAGAAACTCAGCCCAGCAGATATGTTGGTGCCAGCTTATCTACCACACAAAAGACCTTCACCCTCAGGACATAATAAGATTAGCCCTCTGCCCATCTCACCACATGGCACCTGGGAAGATTACATCACCAGCAAAAATTGCATTCAATTTGTTCCTAGTAAAAGTATTTTTTCTCTAAACCTATGGAGCCAAGGATATTTCTTTCCTAGGAATTGAACAAAGGCAGCCCTGACAGTAGGTTTATGTGAGCACATGGGGGTGATACAGCATTATTTTTTAAAGAATTACTTTTAAAACTTGTTTTAGTAACTCTGTTTTAGTAATTTATCTGGTTTTTAAAATTCGTATAGGTGTATTTCCATTTTTTGTTAGAGATTTCTCTGACAGTATGTTTGGAGTTCACAATTATTAATAATAGTTATTTAATAACAGAAAATGTTGGGATCAAGGCTTCAGCCATTTGCATATTTGAAACTAAGACCTATCAATTCCCATGAGAATAATAAAATATACTTTGGAATTTCTGCAAATAAACATTAGAAAAGTAAAACATCTAAAAATAATATGTTGGGGGTTTTGAAAATTGGCAATGTGTGCTGACAAAGCACATATCAAGGTTTAATACCTGGTTAGCCGGTCTGAAATCTGTTTCCCTACCCTAACAAGATCACCAATTTCTGGAAAAACATCTTCCTTTTTTCCTGGGTTTTAAAAAAAGTTATCCCCGCCAAGTCAAAAAAAGTGGACACTGAAGAAAAAAATACAGACTACTAGTTGGCTGAAGATAGTGCTTTCAATGATATTTCTCAACACTGAGTTGCAAAACCAGTTTGTGAGGTCTCAGAGGCACACTTTCCACTATTGCTCTGAAAATCTTTTCCAGAAGTTGTCCACTATTGCACTGCTTTCTGGAGTTTGTTTCTTCTCCGAAAAGAATCATACAGTGCTGGAATGACATAATTGCTCAACAAACATGCATCACCTTACTTTGTAAGCGCTCCTTGGCAATCTAACTGAGTCCCAGCTAAGGGCTGGCTATTTATTAGAACTTAATACCATCACAAGCTTGACTAAAAGCATGTCGTTCTTCTAGTTTAGAAAGATGCTTCTAAAGAATATCTTATGCCACCAGACTTGAAATTCTAGACCTAGAAAATCTAGAACTACGCCGCCTTCAGTCTGATCTAAGTATAGTATATAAAATCATACATTGCAATGTCCTACCTGTCAATGAATACTTCAGCTTCAACCATAACAACAATAGAGCAAACAATAGATACAAACTCAAGGTTAATTGCACCAAACTTGATTGCAGGAAATACGACTTCAGCAACAGAGTGGTCAATGTCTGGAACACTCTACCTGACTCTGTGGTTTCTTCCCCAAACCCCAAAAACTTTAACCTTAGACTGTCTACTATTGACCTCACCCCTTTCCTAAGAGGTCTGGAGGGGGCGTGTGTTGGGTATAACATTGATACACCAACTAAGTTTGGGTGAATAAATATATAAAACCAAGGTTTGGGTGTTTGTAACTTGTAGCTTTAAGCACCAAACTGCTTGTAATTAACTAATTAAGGGTGAGGTTACAAACGGCAATAAAAGGCAGTAAGAGAAACGTAACCTCTCTC